AGAGTCTCCAACTACAATAATTCAACATGACCGTGGTCTACAAGTCAGGCCGCCAACACAGCGACGCCGATTGCCTGTCCAGGGTTTCCGTTGGTACACTTTCCGGCAGCAACGACGACGATGACGACGAGTGTTTCCTGGGCGCAATGACCACCGACGACATGGCCCGACGTCAGCGAGACGATCCTGAGCTGCGCGCACTAATAGAGCACATGGAAGGTCCAGCGATTTACGTCGGTAAATCGCACTAATAGAGCACATGGATGATCCAGCGATTTACGTCGGTAAATCGCTGGATCATCGTCGCCACAGATTATCTCACGCGGTACGCCGAAACAAAAGCTCTTCCTTCCGGAACTGCTGTGGAAGTTGCCAAGTTTTTCATTGAATCCATCGTCCTCCGGCAGGGCGCTCCCGAAGTACTGATCACAGACCGTGGATCCTCGTTCATGGCCTAGCTGACACAAGGAGTCCTTCGTCTCAGCCCCACCAGCCATCGTCGCACCACGGCGTACCGCCCGGAGACCAACGGGCTAACGGAAAGACTCAACAAGACCATCGCCGACTAAATTTCCATGTACGTCGACGTGGAGCGCAAGACATGGTACGAGCTGTTGCCGTACGTCACCTTTGGCTACAACACGGCTGTGCAAGAGACCACCGGGGTTACACCCTTTCAACTGGTTCATGCTCGCAAAGTGACAACGATGCTGGACGCGATGTTACCCCACGAACCGGCTGTCGACGGAAGCGACGACACCCAGGTGGTTTCCCAACGGGCAGAAGAAGTCCGTCAGCTCGCGAGACTCCGGTTTCAAGCCCAATAACGTATCGACACTGGCCGCCACAACCTTCATCGTCGGGACGTCCACTTCCAGCCCGGAGACAGGGTGTGGACACCGATCCGCCGCCGTGGTCTCAGCGAAAATCTCCTGAAGCGCTACTTTGGACCCTACAAAGTGCTTCGTCGACTCGGGGATCTGAACTGCGAGGTGATGCCCGACGGAACACGGACTTCATCACGCAGCCCTCCACGACCGGAAGTCGTCCACGTCGTGCGCCTCAAGCCGTACTACGATCGATAGGACTGTGAATTTTGTTCTGTAATACGCTCGACAGGGATTGCCAATATCTTTATTTGTTTTGCTGTTTTTTTTTGTAGTTTGCCAATATTTTTGTTTGTTTTGCTGTTTCTGTTTTTTTTTACCCAGCACGTCGCATCGAGATGATGCGCTTTTAAAGCGGAAATGTAATGCAATGCGCGTCGGCGAGCAAGCGCGTGGGTGGCCGAGTGGTTACCGGGCTTTACTGTCGCGCGGAAGGTGTAGGTTCGATTACCAGTCAGCGGACTGTCCTTTTATTTATTTTTTCAACTTGGCCTTCTCGTAAGTTCGGGAACATTCTCGTCTGATTAAGTTCCGAATGTTCTACGCATCGAACGTTCTACACCGAACGATCCAGAAACCTACGAGGGTACATAAGGGACTCCGCAAGGCGAGCGTTGTCAGTTTCGCCCCAGCGTTCGACTCTGCTGTCACGCCGACTTTGACGCCCGCGACGCTCTGCTTTCTTCTGTTCTTTTTTTTTATTTTTGGGCACTAGTTCGCTCATGAAACGTCTAGTTTCTTCAGTTATTATCGCCTCATCAATCGTCATTCGTGACAATATTGTTTTCCCAAAGTTTGGGTTCATACGTTAATTAGATCAGTCGTTGGAATTACAAGTGTTCTTGGGTCTTTATTGCACACATTTTTGCATCCATACCACGACGGATCTCAGAACAAATACATGATATAGAGCCTCATCTCAAAAGCAAACAACATGGCCACCGTTGGCTAGGGACTAGCTAGCACCTAGCGGCTAACGGAGCTGCGGACCGGCCATAGCAGAGGCTTGCCTGCACAGCACTAGATTTTTGTGTGGCACGTGATCGAATTTGACGAATAGCTACGCGGCGGCGCGAGGAAGCCAGGAGCTCTACTCTGACTCCCTTAGGGAGAGGAGCCTATCTAGGAACTCTAGAGGAATCTGCTGCGGCCGTCTGATTTCTGTTCTACCCGCTACCAGAGGTCGGCATTTTAGGTCGCCCTCACTCACCCTCACCCTCACAGCCACACTCACCTAAGCCCCTCACTCACCCTCACCCTCACAGCTACACTCACATTCAGCCCCTCACTCACCCTCACCCTCACAGTCACACTCACCTTCAGCCCTTCACTCACCCACACTGAACCTCACGGCCCTCACGCACTCACCGCCTTCACGGCCCTCACGCCCCTCACCGCCCTCACGGCCCTCACGCCCCTCACTCACTCATGGCCCTCACGCCACTCACCGCCCTCACGCCACTCACCGCCCTCATGGCCCTCACCGCCCTCACGGCCCTCACCGCCCTCACCGCCTTCACGGCCCTCACCGCCCTCACGGCCCTCACGCCCCTCACACACTCATGGCCCTCACACCACTCACCGCCCTCACGCCACTCACCGCCCTCACGGCCCTCACCGCCCTCACCGCCCTCACGGCCCTCACCGCCCTCACGGCCCTCACCGCCCTCACCGCCCTCACGCACTTATAGCCCTCACGCCACTCACCGCCCTCACCGCCCTCACGGCCCTCACCGCCCTCACCGCTTTCACGGCCCTCACGCCACTCACCGCCCTCACGCCACTCACCGCCCTCACGGCCCTCACGCACTCATAGCCCTCACGCCACTCACCGCCCTCACCGCCCTCACGGCCCTCAACGCCCTCACGGCCCTCACGCCACTCAATGCCCTCACGCCACTCACCGCCCTCACGCCACTCACCGCCCTCACGCCACTCACCGCCCTCACGCCCCTCACCACCCTTGCGGCCCTCACACCCCTCACGCACGCATGGCCCTCACGCCACTCAGGCCAGCTTCAGATGGGGCAATTTCACCCAGAAACTTTATGTCGCAACACTAGCAACACGGGCCGCCCGCGATCACACGCAGCAACCAATTGCTGCAATTAGCCATCGCCATCATAAAATTTTATTTTGTTGCACTATTTAGACACAATTACGCGTTATAAACGTGTTTTTATGCATGTAAACATCATTAAGAATACTAATGTACCTTTCTGAAACAGTTTATTTCCAAAAAACGATCGATTTCAAGCCAGAACCAAATCTTTCGGTGTCATCATCACCGGCACGAGGTATCACGTGAAAATTTTGCGTCCCTGATTGGATGCAGCCGCTTCAAACGTATTCGAATTGCTCCGAGTTGCTTGCTCATTTCGAGCCGGACCCCATCTCAGCAATTCGTGTCGATCTAGGGAAAGCTAGAGAACAACCCGCCATTAACACCAAAATTGCTGAGAAAGATGCTCGATCCGAAGGGGGCCTCACGCACTCATGGCCCTCACACCACCTCATGCCCTCACCGCCCTCACGGCCCTCACGGCCCTCACGCCTCTCATGCCACTCACTGCCCTCACGCACTCATGGCCCTCACACCCCTCCCGCACTCACCGCCCTCACACCACTCACGCACTCATGGCCCTCACGCCACTCACCGCCCTCACGCCCCTCACGCACTGATGGCCCTCATAACCCTCACCGCCCTCATGGCCCTCACGGCCCTCATGGCCCTCACGGCCCTCACGGCCCTCACGGCCCTCACCGCCCTCACGGCCCTGACGGCCCTCACAGCCCTCACGGCCCTCACCGCCCTCATGGCCCTCACTCACCCTCACACTCATGAATTTTCCTGGTTCAGGAACTCACTCACCCTCACCTCACCTGTGAAGATGAGGGTGAGTGAGGGCCCTCATGAGTGAGGTTTGCCGAGGTATGCCCGCTACTTCACAAACGATGATGGTGATAGCTAGAGAAGTGCCCCCTGTAGCTCGCCCACGCCGCCAATAAAATCCCTTGTCGTCAGTCAAGTACCTCAGAAAGCGCGTCATCGCTACTTCCTTCTTCTTTCTTTGAGTATATGCGGCTGACCCAATTGGACACAGAAGGTACACCGTGGCGGCCCGCTTTTAGTACGTATTGTGGAGACTCAGAAACAAATACCGACTCTCACGGCGCTCAATCTCCGTGATAGTCGGTATTCGCCTCGCACGCACGCCCGTCACACGGTTATAAATCGCCGTTATCTTCATTTCATTCTCCATAGCATGCATGTCTTGCCTTGTATTTTAGCCTTCAACTTTTGGCTGCGGTGTGACTCAAGTTATATCCAAGCATAGACCTTTTCTGTGACACTCGTGTCGACGGAAACAACTCACACATCCGGTAGAGGCGAAAAAAAATAAGCGAGGTATTACTACCTGGAACAATTAACAAAATAGAAAATAAACAAAAAAAATTGTCAGTTTCTATAAAAACGTGAACATATTCCAGTTGTGAGGTTAGGGAAAAAATAATGTTTTCCCCCACACCGTGAGTTCCACGATTCAAGTGGACAACGACCGCACGGAATATACATATATATTTTCCGAGTAGAAAACATACTTGACGATAGCGTCGCCTCCTATCTTGAAGAGGAGCAGACGGCACTACCGTCGAAGCATGGGGTGCGAAAGAGCACTTCAGGGGCCTCCTGTCAACTGGGCTGTGAGAAGCGTTATGAACATCCGCAGGTAATCTCTGCTGTCGGAAATCAGACGTGGCGCAGGCGTCCACAGTCTACTGAGTAGGCATCTCTCGCCTTGGGTTGTAAGGGCTGAAAAAAACTTTCAGCCTTTCCACTCTGGTGAAGAAGGAAAACCAGCGAAGCTGTACTATGGTGGGAATGAAGTAATGGCCGGCCGCAAGTCTGCAGGCTAGAGTGGAAAGGATGGAGAGGTCGCCGCTATCCATGAGTGACGGCAGCAACCTGACAACCTGTATCAGTTGTCCGGTTGCCGCCGTCAGTCAAAGATGGCGGTAGCTGCCCAGCGTTTTGTGTGATCATTTGTTTGCTGAAGGGCACGATACTGGAAAAACTAGCCCTTAACAGCTCCGCCGTAAAATGTCTAGCCCTCACCTGTTGTTGCCCTTGAGAACTGCGTACACAGAGTAGTACATGTCCATCGGTGTGCAGACGTGTTCGACGGGCATGTCCCGGCAAGCGGGGTGTCGTTCCGTGACCGTCCCGATGACGCACATGTTACGACAGTCCTCGGCGTTCCTAAAGAACGCCAGTCCCGGCAGAACGCAGTTGGAGTTTGGGAAACCCCACCGTCTGCAGTCTCCGTTCCGGAGGAACCACCACTGGCGCTTGATGTCCTCCGCGTCGCACCGCTTGAATTCGGCCGGCGCGTAGCACTTGTGCATTGGATTCTGAAAGGAGAAAATAGTTTGGATTGATGAATGCGCGGGGCCACGTTGTTTCTTTTCCATCGCATCGCAAAACGTTGGCCCAAGGTTAGTTGAGGGGATAAAATTAAGAGGGAACTTTCCCGTCTTACAAGAACCAAAGACCAATTACCCTGAATTGTCTATCCTCAGACGTCACTCTTAGAGCGCAGCTTTTAAAGCCCGTTCACACTCTTGCGACCTCTTAAAACTGGGTTCCTTAAAGCCTCTTGCAAAGAGAACACACTGGCGCCATCCATTCGTTAGCAGTATGAATTTGGCGGTCCGCATATTTTCTATTTCTCTAGCGCATTATTCTTCCTTTCTTGGCTCGAAAAACGTTTATCAACGTCATAATGAGCCTTTCTCATAGGTATTACGCACATTTGACCTCAGAGATAGCGCAAAACCTTCGCTCTTGTAAAATGCAGTTTCAGGGTCACTGCATAGATGGCGCCAGCGTACCAGTGTGTTATCTCCTCCTAAGAAATCTTAAAAGGTTCTAACAAGTCCCGTCTCTCTCGGTCGTACTCGGTTGCAAGAGTGTGAACGGGCCTTGAGACTCCCGTTTCGGCGTTTACCGGTGTCGCCGTCGCCGTCGTCGTAACGCCCTGCTAAGTTTAGCGGGAAATTTAATTGGCGTTGAGGTCGCGTGACGGCAATTTTCCCTCTAAATCTATTAAAAAAATGAATTTGTTTATGGGTGATATGACACAAATTCATGTTACGTCAATTCCCCCGCTAAAATTAGCGGTGAAACTGAGTATTGGTTGAAGGTACCTGACGTCATTTTTCCGGCTAAATTTAGCGGGGAAACCTTGGGAAGAGGGGAAGATATGGTGGAGGAAAGGAGAAGGAAAGAAGGAGAGGAGGAGGGGAGAGTACGGAGGAGGAAAGGAAGGAGCATACGCTCCCCTCCGTCACCTCCCCTCCTCCTCCTCAACAGCTGAGCTCTAATTCCGCATGCTAGAGATGTCTAAGCGTCTTTCATTATTTAGCTGACTCTCAAAACTAGCAGTGAAGTCTGACTTGTTCCCTTCCCCATCAGCGAAGGCAAGATGGGCGAGAAACACGCATTTCAGTCGTACTAACGAAGATATTGCAGGTGGGAGTATCTCACGGAAAAGCTTCATATTCTGAATAAGAGTTCGCAAATACTCGTACCACCGGAATACAAAGCATATATTTTTCATCCCATCAGCTGCCATTCTGGTGGCCTCTCTGCTAAGCGCATACCTCCTGGAGCAAAAATGTCGCATCAAAAATTTAGTTTTCTCGGGAATAACAAATATGATTGATCATAAACATACGAGGACGCCAACTGAAACCCAATTATAGTTCTTAATATTTCGCAGCGTTTGGTCTGCTCAAAACAACGGTCCTTGTCGACTTTCATTACCGGGTGGCTCGGGCTAGTATATTTGCAGCACCACTCATTTCTAACTTTCATAGGCTAGCGGGCTGTTTACAAACAAGCCACCGTTGGCCCACAACAAGTTTGGGCACTGCGGGTACGAGGAAACCAGTGTCACGTGATGTAAAAGTCTGTAGAAGCCATGTCGACAGCAGCACCACCGAATTGGCGGGATGTCAGGGGCACTGTTGGTCTATATGCCTGCCCCGCATTTTTCTACAGGGGCCAATCAGTTCGTCGAACGACAATGTAATGAGAGATCATTTCGTCGAAGTGCGGCGTTTCATCGAAAACTTGTCACTTTCGCTTCGACGCACCTGGCGTGTCGTAGAAAGCGTCCAGTATTGTACACGTTCCTTCAACACAGGAACGAAAGCTTGTTCCTTCTCAATTTTAGAACGAGTTTCCGTTCAAGGTCCCTTTTGTCCGAAAGGAACCCGTTCCTCTTACTTTTCTAAAAAGTTAAACGCGTCGTTACATGAACGCTTCGTTTGCGTATTAACACGATCCCAATACGTACCACGTCCCGGCACGCCAGCTTGCACTTCTGGAGGGACTTGAAGCGATTTATTCCAGTCAAACAGGCCGGTGGCAAATCTTCGTGCCTCGAACGACACAAGTGCGCGGACTTGTCGTAGAAGAAGTCTTTCTTCCTTGCCTTCCTGCACAAGGTAAACTGAAGACTGCTCCTGCACCGTATGTCCTGTGGAACAGATAAAACAGAGAAAAGGCAAGCTTCGTTTGTACAATGAGTAAGTTCCGGTCCTGAGCTCCCCTTTGGAACAATTGACACGTGTCACGCGGAAAACATATGCTACACATTGTCGTCGAAGTGAAGCTGCAACGTGTTTTAAGCTCCTCGTGGTTCGGGAGAAAAATAACCGTGTTTTCTCACTCCGCAAAAATACACTATACTTTGTTTCATACTTATCGTGCAACGCTGTCAAAGCTACTGGCGCGAGCGCGTGGCTTCATCTATGGTTTTGTTTGCGCAAGAACGCGTGCATATGACCAACGAGATCAAGTCCCACGCTCACGCCAGTAGCTTTGACGGCAATGCACGCTAAGTATGAAACAGAGTATACACATCACCGAGCATCAAGTCTGTCTTCAAGTATAGAGATTTTATGTTACCTGTCGTTCTCACTCCCGTGGGTTCTGTATCAGGCATGCGAGACGCCAAACAAATAAAAAATGGCAGCCTGGAATATGTGAGAAAATATTGGTGTGGCAAAGCAAGATTCTGCGGCAATCACGCATTTTTCGTAAATCCCTTTCAGCGGTGGGGAGAAGTCAAAACGATGTTTTACCGCACACCAGAAGTGACGACATTCAAGATGGCTGAGCCCTTGTGGAAGAGGTGTAGAGCGTAGCGGTGGGGACCAGATGATAATGTTTTAGAGCTTAGCGGTATTTATTTTGACATTACACGCCATATTCGGAAAACGTAAGGATACATTGACCGCTAATGGATCATTCTGGAAAGTATTCCGCGCCCTCAGGCGGCGCGCCTGATGCATTAGGGAAACAGTGAGGGTCGCTGCTCCGTCGTCTGTTGCTACTGCCTACCGCCTGCGAGAACCGCGTTGCCTATGTTCGCATCTGGTCCCTGTGTATGGCATTATTTGATGCGTCGCATCAATTCTCTCGTAAGCTTCTCATCCTTCGCATACAGATGCCATGGCAGGTGACGACCTTTCAGGGTGCTGTGGTCGAACCCTGGCACGCAGCACGTGTTGCGTGCCACTACCCTTCTATGGATGGGACATTGTTCTAAATGGGCCATCATTTTTTTAATGCAAAAACATAAACCGTTTTATGGAGCGATGTCGGCGTTGTCTGACCACCAAAAACGGCACCTAAATTCCCATTGGCTGAGACGCGTCATGTAGCTCCATAGCAACGGCGTCATTGTTGCTAAGGATCCAGACGAACTGCTGGCAGCACAGCGGGAAGTGGGGACGCGGGTATACTCTGGCCTGATGTCAGCACGCGCCGCTCAATCGTATGCTCAAGGACGACGCCGTCCTTCAGATCGTCCTAGAGGTCGTCCTAGACGTCGTCCTCTAGGCGTCGTTCAGGACGTCATCCTAGACGTCGCCCTAGACGCCATTCTTGACGTCGTCCTCGACGTCGCGTAGACGTCGTTCTTGAGCTCGTCCGAGAGGTCGTCTTCGGCGTCGTCCTAGATGCCGTTCTTGTTGTCGTCCTAGACGCCGTACTTGGCGTTGATCTCTAGGACATCGTCCTATACGTCGTCCTAAATGTCATCCAAGAGGTCGACCTAGATGTCGTTTTTGACGTTGTCCTCGACGTCCTCCTAGACGCCGTCCTTGACGTTGTCCTCGATAAATGCACGGCAACGCAGATACTTCGGCACGGAAGGCGTGAAGTTTTAATACGTGTAGAAACATCACTTGAAAACATTTCACCCGCGGGACTAGAATGCTTTCGCATTCCTACACGTTAGCAGTCCTTTTGAATGGACCATCGCGAAGGGGCCGCGCGCCAAAAGAGCGAAAATTACTCAAGCGTAAAATGTGTCTTCTCATTCTGCTTTGGCATCATTTGAGGTAGTGAATACATTTTAGTTTCCTTCACAAAAAAAAATATCGAAACAGTACGCAGCTTGTCCCAAAAATATTTGAAGGTTATTAGCTCACCTGGCTGCATGAATCGATTAAGAATGGTGCTGCAGTTGGGGTGATAGCGTGCGCCACCTAGCATACAAAAGCTTGACTACGCTAGATTTGGCTTGGCTAAAGGGCGCGACACCGTCATAGTCACCATCGTGCACCGGAGCGCTCAATGGTAGAGGTGGCGTTTCCAGAAAAATTCATATAGCAGTGAGCAAAAAAAAAATAGAAAAAAAGTTGTCTGTTACCGAGTATAAAACCCCTGTTATCAATAAAAAATTATGAAACTAGCTTCTAACATTTTAGTTAGATACAGGTAATTTTAGAAAGAATTATATCTGGCCCCATCGCTAGCGCTATGTTTGGGCCAGCGAGGTAGGAGGGCCTAGAGCGAGAAGCTGGTGTCCCGTTCACATAGAAAAAGTGCCCCGCCCCCCTCCCCTGGCTGTCGCCATCTTGTACAATACTAAACAGTAGACTCGTGACCGTACCAAATTTCGAAGATTTTACGCACAACTGAGCCAAGATTAGTATTGCGATCGCTGTAAACATGTTCACCTATTTTACAGCGAAGCTGATTGTGGTTAGTGCTCCGTGGATTTTTGTCTGCCTGACCAAAAACTCTACGCTCGCACCGCGCCCATGCGCCGCACGTGCCAGCGTCTGCAGCAATAGCTGTTCTAAAGCAGAAGCCTAAAAGAAAGAGCATCTTGCACTCACGTTGATCGACGCTTTATTTTGGCTATTTACTGCGTATTTTTAATACGGGGAAGGCGTGCGCGCGCGGTGTTTTCGTGTGCGTGACCAAAAACTCTTTAAAACTCTACGCTCTCACCGCCCTCTCTTTTTTGGCGTTTCAAACTCTTGCGCGCCTAATTTCCTCTCCGTCCGCTCTCCCGGGGTGGCGGTCCCGTCGCGCTTGTCTAGTTTCCTCCGAGTCCTCGGTGCTGCGCTAGCCGTTCACGCGAATGCATATAAAAAACCATAAGGACAAGTTGCCGCTTTCCAATTTCAATTTCACTCTTCTTTCGTCGTAATGGTGAGGCCGCGTATAGTTCGGACTCCCGAAGAGCAACGCGCCTACGAAGAGCAACGGCGGGAACGGCAACGAGAATGAAATGTCAGCAGCAGCGGCGGGCGGCACGTTTGTGAGCGTATCTTTAGTCACGATGACCACCGATCAAAACAATAAATGTGTTCGTAACTTTGTTCAAAATTTTGTGCCACGTCTGTGTCGTATGCTCAACAGCTTCGCTGGTCATCTACCTTTGCTGAGTGGAATGGCTCCCGATGTTTTTCTCTCAGTACCGTTAGCCCAAGAAATCAGTGTCTAGCTCCGATGCAAAACCCAAATTACAGCACCGCAGCTGATGGCATCTAGTGTAGCCATTTCGAAGCTGCCCGATTTTTCGTCGTAAAAACTCACATATTGGACTTAAACGAAACAGCCCTTGTCTCGTCTATATTATTATTAAAGATCAATAAGCAATCATCTTTGCGCGGTACTTCGTTAAAATCTAGACGTGAAACTATAAGGTGACATGTGTAATGGTTAAATATGAACAACATGGCGGCGGCCGGGTGGGGGTCACTTTCAGCTGCCAGTTTATCGCTCTAAGGCCCTCTACCTCTTTAGTTTTGGCAGAGACTGATTTTTCGGAGAAAAATCAGTCTCTGCCAAAACTAAAGAGGTAGAGGGCCAAAACTAAAGAAAAATGCCACACATATTTCTCCCAAGCACCATGTATTTCTAAGTTACATGGCCCACGCAAACACACGTGAGACTGAAGCAGCAAAACGCAAATACCGTATTTACTCGAGTAATACCTGCACTGTTTATAATGAACACCTAAGCGTTCGTTTTTCGCGGAGCACGCGGATTGCCAATCACTGCAATCGACAGCATAATTCCAGTTGTTTACAGGACAGAGATAACGTCTTCGTGCAAAGATACCACTCGTGAAGATTCCATTTGCGTGGTGAATAATGTTCTCGATCTGGTTATTCGCTATTTTATTTATGCGCAAAGCAATGATCGGCTGTATATGTTTTCTGAAGAAGAGTAGACGCAAGGACCTTGTTCAATAGTAGTACAGTTATTACTGGAGTAAATATGGTAGCATGTTGTATTTTTAACAGGGTGTATGTAATATATATCGGTTCTCAAGTAGCTGTCCTTTTTATTGGTGACAGTCGGCCTTAAAAGCATATAAATGAGTCGTGTAGATTTTTGCAACCAGTTGCCTCTCAAGATAACAACGACATTACTGTTTGGCACCATTGCACCGACGTTTTTACTATCCACTCGCGTACTCCACTGATGAGCGCGTCATTTTAGAGAGTCTCGTTTTTCCAGTTTTTGTTGACCCCAATGTGAAACGTCCCGGTGTCGTATTTTAATACCTTATTAAAACTTTACACTTATCTTCTTTCCGAAATTCGGGTATTCGTAACCGAATTCCAAAAGAACATGGAGAAGACTCCGCTTCGCGCGGACTACAGTAGGTGTGCTTTGAGAAATCCTTGGCTCAGACAGTTAGCGTTAGCTCACAAGAATAGAACACCGACCCACAAGCGGGCGTCATTGACGAGAAAACTACTTGACAACGATCATGAATTAAAAATCGGTTGGAAACATTGCGCTAATATTCCCTGTGACCGTGTTGAACATAAAACAAACAAACCACACACAGAAAATTGTGGTTAGATTTCGTTCCATTCGAACATTAGGTCATCTTGTTACCTCAAACATACAGGGCGGTATAAAGTATTTCCCTGAATAATAATATCCGGCCTAAAATAACTATGACGAATCAAAATATGTACGTTGTGGCGTTACGTAGGCCTACTCCTGTAGATATATATTTTCGATACAGGTGACGCTGCGACCGCCTGTTTCAACATGGCGTCAGTGAAAGATAAAGCGGCGTTTGTTTCGTGTCATAAGGTATTTATCTGGTTTTCCAATTGTATGGCACAAATATTACTGTGAGAAAGATACATGTGTTCTTTATAGAAATGCCACCAAAATTCAATAACGCTCTACAGCATAGCTGTCTATAGCTCT